CTCTTATTACATTTCATATAAATGGGATCATGCAATCTGTGGGCTTTTGGGACTGTTTTCTTTCATAACGCTTTTCAAGGTTCATCCATGGTGTTGCGTGTATCAGTTTAAAATAATCTCCCGTTATAGGACTATTTACATTAATTTTTATTTGTCACTTGCTGTTTCCATTTCTTTTGTGTGTGTGTGTGTGTCTATTGTGACTAATGCTGCCATGAGCATTTGTGTACAAATCTTTGAGGGAGCTATGATTTTATTTCTTTCGTGTGTACAAAGGAGTGGGAGAAAGATGGGGCTTTCTACTCCTGTAAAGAGTATGGTTTCGGACACTTCCAGGGGCAGTACTACCCTGTCGTGTAGGGTCGCTATGATTCAGAATGGATTTGATGGCATTGAGTTTGGGTTTGGGTTATGCGTAGGAGTCAATAGCTAGGTCATCTGATAACTTTTAGCGTTTTGAGGAAGTGCCATATGCTTTTTGCCAAAGCAGCTGCATCATTTGATATTCCCACCAGCAAAGCATCATGGCTTCCAATTTGTCCACACCCTCGCCAACCCTTGTGATTGTGTCTCTTTCAATTTTCATTCATCTTACTGGGAATGAAGAAAGCCCTGCACCAGGAGTGTATGGCTGAAGCTCCCTGCTCCCAGAGACTTACAGCCCCAGAAACCTCATAGAGGGTCACTATGAGTCAGAATGGAGTCAATGGCAGTGTTTTTTGTGTGCATGTGTGTTGTTCTTGTTTTTTAAATCATTTCATTGGGGGCTCGTACAGCCCTTATCCCAATACATACATGGATCCATTGTGTCAGGCACAATTGTACATGGGTTGCCATGATAGTTTTTTTTAAGTGGATGTGAAATGGTATCTCGTTGTGGTTTTGATTTCCATTTCTCTAATGATTTTGAGCCTCATTTCATGTGTTTATTAACCATTTGGGTATCTTTTTTTGAGAAATGTCTATGTAGATCCTTTGTCCGTTTTCTATTGTGTTGGCTCTTTATAATGGAACAGTAAGAGTTTTTTATATATTCTAGATACAGGCCTCCTATCATATCTATAACTTGAGAGTCTTTTCACCCCTTCTGTGGTTGTCTTTTTTATTTCTTATTTTTTAATTATTAAAAGATCATTTTATTGGGGACTCTTACACCTCTTAGAATCCATACAGCGATTGTATCAGGCCTGTTTGTTCATGTGTTGCCTTTATTCTTGTCTAGACATTTACTTTCTATTGAGCCTGTGGTATCAGCTCCTCTTTTTCCCCCTGCCCCTTTTTGCTTTCTTGATGGTGTTCTTTGAAGCACAGACATCATCGATTTTGATGTCCAATTTATATGTTTGCTTTTTCTATTGTTGCTTGTGGTCTCTGGCATCCTGTCTAAGTAAACAAGGTCACGCCGATCCACCCCTTTGTTTTCTTTTTTTTTTTTTTCCCCACACCTTTGTTTTCTAAGAGCTTTATAGTTCCAGCCTTTACATTTAGGTCTCTGATCCATTTTGAGTCAGTTTTTCTACACGGTGTGAGGTCAGGGTTCAACCTCATCCTGCCCCGCCCCCCCATGTGGCTGTCCAGGTATCCCAGTACCACTTATTAACAGCAGACTCTTTAAAAATGAAGTGTCATCTTACACAAACCCTGGTATTTTCATATCCTTTGAAACACCTGCTGTGGGGGACAGAGCACTGACTAGAGAACAGCCGGGGCTCCAGATCCCAGTCCCTCCCTGACACCTTCCCTTGGGCCAGCCTCTTAACTTACCTCTTGAAGGTGACAGAAGGAGTCAAAGACGTGTACCAATTCCAGCCCCTGTGTTCTCTCTGTACTTGGGCGTTGATGGTGAGGATGCTGGAAAACGATGATATTCCTGAGCCAAATGGGCTGCATTTGCTTTTGGTTACCTGGTGATGGTCTTATGCCAGATTGGTTGCGCTCAGCATTGTCAGTCTTCAGCCACACCATGGTACCATCAGTCCGCCTCACTCTGATGTGCTCGTGGGCCTTGAGAGAGTCCCCTTGGGGCAGTGGTCCTCAAATTTTAATCTGATTTCCCACGAGGGCTTGTTAAAATAGATTGCTGCCTGGCTGGCGCCCTTACCCCCCAGTATCTGATCTACAGGAGCTGTACGGGGACCTGAGGATTTGCATTTCTAACAAGTTCTAACATGCGACTGGTGGTGGCCCAGGGACCATACTTTGCCAACCTTTATATTTCAGGTTTTTTTCCTTCTGGGGGTTTGAACCTCTTATTCCTACTGCCTGGGAACTTCACCCCTCATCTTTAGTTGGATAATTCCCACTTGCCTCTCCTGATGATGTTTTTCTGAAAAGTTTGTCTGATATTAGGATCACCGCCCCATTTCTCCGTTAGTTAAGGATTGCATGCAGCATCTTTCCCCACTCCTTTCACTGTCAGCTTGATGATGTCTTTGAACCCCTTGTAGATCGCATATAGAGTTTGCTCCTACTTTTTCAGTTCATTCTGCCAACCTCACCCGTTCACTGGAAAGTTGAATCCATTTGCATTTAATACAATTCCTGATAAAGTAGGATTGATGCCTGAATCTTGCTATTTGTATTTATATGTCTTATGCCTTTTGGGGTTTTCTGTTGCTGCTCTGACTGTCAACCTCAAGGTCAGCGGTTCAAACCTACTCCTCTGCAGTCGAAAGATGAGGCCATTTGTTCCTGTACAGACTTACAGACTCGGAAACCCTTTAATAGGGTTGCCCTGAGTTGCAACCAACTTGATGGTCATGGGTTTGGGTTTGGGCATTTTCGTTTCTGCTTTGAGATATCACTCTGAGCACCGGACTCCGTCCACGCCTCATGTGCCTGGTGATCTGGAGAGGAACAGGGAATACTGACCAATTGATGCCTTTGAGTGATTGTGTTGGTGATGAATATTAAATATACCGCTGACTGTCAGAAGAATGAAGAAATCTCGGTCCTGGAAGCAGTACAGCCAGAATGCTCCGTGGAAGGGAGGGTGGTTGAGACTTTGTCTCAAGTACTTTGGACATGGAATCAGGAGGGACCGGTCCTTGGAGAAGGACAGCATGCTTGGTAAAGTAGAGGGGGAGCGACAAAGAAGAAGACCTTCACTGAGCTGGACTGGCACGATGCCTGCAACGATGGGCTCGAACCTAGCAAGGGTTGGAGGATGGGGCCGAACCGGGTGGTGTTTTGCTCTATTGTACATACTTGTTGGGTCTCTGAGTTGAAACCACTTTCCTGTTTCTTCCATGTCAGGTATTTTCTCGTGTAGTAATGCAATTCCTGTCGTTTCTCTTTCTGATTTCTCCTCACCCATCAGCTCGTAGTGTGACTTCCCGGAGGAAGCACTGGAGGACTTTCGCCTGTCGTGGGCTGCAGACTCCCTCCTTTTAGGCAGTAGCATGGTGTGAATCACACTACACTGTAATTGCCAGTTCGACTCCTAGAGGCTTCTGTTGTGCACGGCCTTGAATATGCAGTACCTAGCACTGAGCTTGTCCCAGACTGGGTGCTTGGCCAGGATTGTGAACCAGCTCATGCACGGACCAGTTGAGAGAGATTTAACTCCAGAGCCATTTGGAATAGTAGGAGGGCAGGAACAACGCCAACACCTTCTTCCTTCCACTTCTGGACATTTCTGGGCACGCAACGCTACTTGGGTCCTGCATCTGTTATTTATTAACACAATAACATTGCCTAACCACCAACACAAAATGACTGTGAGACTCAGGGTACAGGGTTCCTGGGTGGCTCTGCTTGGCTGGCTGGCTGGAGGGTACTCTTGAATGAGTGGCATCAGCTGTAACAGTTGGGATAACTCGGGTCTGTACCATGTGATTTTCTTATCCCCTCTGGGTCCTAACTTGGTTGTTCATCCTTGTGGTGATGGAGAAGGCAAAACTGAGCAAGCCCCCAGTTACATAAGCACGTTGTCAGCCTCTTGTTGCATCCCATTGGCTGACATCCCATTGATGCAAGCCAGCGAGAGTGAAAGTGAGCTCAGGGTCAGAGGGGGAGGGCCCTGCAAAGTGATAGTGGGAGAGGTGCGTAATGGAGGCCATGTGTTTAATCTTGTGAAAGTCAAGCAGTGGCCAGGAGCAGCCCCTGAGTGCTGTTTGAGTAAGGTGACCAGAGAGCCCGCTTTTGGCGGGACAGTCCCAATTTTTAACAATTTGTCTTGCGTCCTGCGGCGTTTTAAAAAAGTCCCCATTTTTGGGAAAGAATGCACGACAAGCTAGGGTCTATGGTTTTCGGCTGCCATGTGGCTACTTCGCCAGGATATGAGTTTTATCACTGGTGTCCTGCTGGTGTCCCGCTTTACCAATGTTAAAATCCGGTCACCTTATGTTTGAGTCCACCCAGAGGTGCCTCAGAAGAAAAGTCTGGCCATCTATTTCCCAACCATCAGCCCTTGAACCCCCTCTGGAGCACAGTCCTCCCGTAACACATGGCGTTATCCTGAGTCAGAAGTGGACTCGGCAGTCACTGGCCACTGGCCAGTAGTCCTGGCAGCAGAGCTTTTATGGACGAGTGCCTCTTCAAAACACACACCTGGCTTTAGAAAATACGTACTTAAGATCCGAACGCAGAACCGTGTATCTTGCTCTCTCCCTTGACGATGAAGGAAGGGCCTAACCGTCTGGTGTTTCCTTGTACAGAATCAGAGGCTGCCGTCGTTGGAGAAGTCCACGAGAACGTTTCTCTGCAGTGCGGCAACATCTCAAGGCCCAGGGGCCTAGTGACTTGGTACCGGGAAGACGTGGAGCCTGTCTTCCTCCTGTCCTCCAACTCCAGCCTCCCACCAGCAGAGCCTCGCTTCTCTCTGGGGAATGCCAGTTCCCTGCATATCGAGGGGCTGAGACTGCAGGACGAGGGGAACTACACCTGCCGGGAGGTCCTGAACGAGACGCAGTGGTTCCGAGTATGCCTGCAGGTGGCCAGTAAGTGGAGTGGGACAGGAGGAGGGAATGGACAGGAGGATGGGCTTTGGACTCAGTCAGCTTGGGTTTCCTTTGTGTCCCTGGTCTCTGCAACTTACAACCTGACTGATGCCGCATACCAGCATTTCCTCCCCTGTAATATGTGCATGAAGGAGCCCTGGTGGCGTAGTGGTTATACATTGGTCTATGACCCACAAGGTCAGCAGTTCAAAACTACCAGCTACTCCTCATGAGAAAGACAGGGTTTTCTACTCCTGTAAGCTACGGATGACAGTGGAAGCCCAACAGTCATTTGCAGGGTCCACACATGGATTTAAAATGCCTCTCATGAAACCCCTCTGATCATAGTTGAAGGATGTAAATAGCTCCATTATTAGACAGAGAGCATTATAAAGTCGATTATGGCAGGCTACTGAGGTCAAAATGCAGTATCTTATCATTTGATATTTGATCTCCTTTTAGATCCATTTTAAAGCTGTTTCAGTCAAAAAAAAGAGTGCAGGGGAACTACATGTGGTTTAAGCCCCTGGTGAATTCCCTCTGACCATGGACCAGGGGTGTAAATAGCCTTGTTACCATGCAGACTGCATTGCGAAGCAGATTGTTGAATATGCAGGTAGGTTAAAATTTAGCACCCGATCATTTGACCTTCCAATGATCTATTTAAATTTGTTCTAGTTTTTAATATTTTCTTATTGCTTTCCAATTCAGGTTTCACTTTGTGATTGTTAGTTTATTTTCTTTTGTTCCTTGTTCAATGTGTTCCTGCCTATGGAATCCCGAGTAGGTAAATCTATAGAGACAGTCGCGAAGGATGGTTCCTTAGGGGTGTGGCATGGTGGGGTATGGTTGGGGGAATGGGGAGCTCATCTCAAGGAGTACAAGAATGAAGAAAGTCTTGTACGATTGATCGTGGAGATGCTTGTACAAGTCTTCTTGATGTGATTGAACTGTTGAATTGTATGATTATGAATTATATGCCAATAAAACCGTTGGGGAGAGGGGAGAGCCACAGTCTCATAAACTCACAAGGGCATTTCTACCCTGTTCTATAAGGTCACCGAGACTTGGCATTGACTTGGTGGCAGTGAGTTTGTTTGTGTTTTATGAAAATGTACAGGCAAAGAATGTTTACCTCCTACAATTATTGTGGAAGACAGTTATTGGCCTATATAAATGGTCTCTATAAATGGCTCTTATGCTGATGAGCTATTATCTTTAGTGCATTGTTAATATCATTCTTACCAATAGCATTTTATTATGCAATAGAGTTAACGAATCACAATCTACGCGGGCTGTCTTTGTTTTGATTTGAGGGCTGTTGCTTCATTCTGCGTCACTTTAAGTAAGGGGCTTATTATCTCCGAGCTTCGGTTTTCCTTATCTGTTAAATGGGGCGGGTCCAGTTACTTACTATAGCTCTGGTGCTATAGGAAGAGCCTGGGTGGTAGAGTGGTTCTGTGCTGGGCTGTTATCTGCAAAGTGGGCATTTGCTGGGCTGTTCACTGCAGGGTGAGCAGTTTGAAGCCACCAGGTGCTCCTTGGGAGAAAGATGAGGTTTCCTACTCCCGTGAAGAGTTAACGTTTCAGAAACTCCTAGCGGCAGTTCTACCCTGTCCTCTACAGTCCCCGTGAATCAGAGTGGACTCCATGGCAGTGAGTTCGGTTACTTCAGGGTTTGGGTTTCTTTCAGTGCTACAGTGCTAAGTCCCGGGCTTGGGATTAACTACTATGATGACCGCTCTTTCTTAGCACAGTCAAGCATACCTGTCCATCTGTAGTTTTAGCTCTAAAGGCTAGGAATAACGTATGTCCAGGCGACCTGTATCTTGATGTCTCATACTGCCCACAAACTACAGATGTTTTTCCCCATCCTAAAGGTTATTGATTTTTGTGGTTGCTGTTGAAGGTAACACACAGTAAAGCAGACCCCCGTGCTGCGGTTTCAACCTGTACAACAGAACGATCTTGATTACATTCTTCAATGTAATGCAAAAATTTTAAACACTTTTTGGGCAGTTAAGAAGAAAAGCAAGAGGAGGTTACTTTTTTGTGACATGTGACGATTGTATGCAGGCCACCTCTCAGTGCCCATAGGTGGGCTTGTATTGGAGCACAGCCGCATCGTTCATTTACACGTTGCCTGTGACTGCTCTCATGCTACACCTGCGTCGGGTGGGTGAGACAGAAGACGGTATGCCTTGCAATGCCCCAAATATTTACTAGCTGCCCCTGGTTCCGTTTTCTGACCCATAGTCTACACCCAGGGTGTAGTGGTGTAGAAACACCTCTGTGATCACTGAGCAGAGTCATTTACTAATAGGAATGAGTAAATGATTGACTACCAACCAAAAGGCTGGCAGTTTGCGTTCACCCCGAGGCACCGTGGAAGAAAGGCCTGGTGATCTACTTCTAAAAAAAAGAAAACGTCAGCCATTGAAAACCCTCTGTCGCATTATTCTACTCCGATGCACACAGGGTCCCAATGAGTTGGAACCACGACAACTGATTAGGTTTATCTTCCATATGTACACTCGTTTTTACTGAGAATTTGCTCTATGCCAGGACATGAGTGAAGACGGACCAGGGCCCTGGCCTCACAGAGCTCACATTCTAGTGTGGGAAGACAGACAGTGAAGAAGCAAATATATATAAGCCAACATCGGAGTGACAGTGATGTGCAGAGAGCTTTGATAGGGGATGATGTGATTCTCTGAAATCTTTTAAATTGGGGGATCGGAGAAGAGCTTTGGGAGTTAGTGAGAATTGGGGTACTAAGATATGTAGGAGCTTGTCTTGCAACGGTAAGAGAGGGTGTTCTGGTCAGAACAAACAACTTGTGCACGATGGAATGAATGTGGTGTCCTCTTGGATGTGGGGAAAGGTGGGTGTGCAGAGGCCTGGTGGGTGAGAGGAAAGGGTCGTGAGATAGGGAAGCCCTGGCCAGACCATGCGGGGCTCGATAGGACCATGCAGGAAGTGGGATTTTATTCTAGGGGCTGGAGGAAGTAGATGCAGAGATTCTAGCAGAGTGTCGCATCCCTTGAAGGACACGCGCAGAGTCTATGAGTCTGTGGGATGGGCTGATAAAATAAAAACAGGAAAATCAAGGTGTTGGTGTGACCAGATCTAAGGTCGTGGTGGCCAGAGCCAAGATGGAAGCAGTGGCTTTGAGGAAGATGGACAGGTTCAGACGGACCAGCGGGGACTTGTAGATGGATTTGATGGGAGGGGCGAAGGAAAGAAAGGCCTTGAGGGCACATCTACATTTTGGGATGATCTGTAGAGTTTCCATCAACTCCCAGGTTTCTGGAATTCACGAGTGGTAACTCTGCGTCTGGAGAGGGCACCGATGAACTGCTGAATGTAGTTTGTTTTTTTCATCCCACAAAGCCTGTTCCATCTCTGCTGGGTTCCCACTATCGCGTCAGTCTTGTTGGTAAATATTTTCTATTTTGACCACAGAGGAGCAAGGTAGAATGCCAGGTCTTGGTTGTTTTCATCACTGATCTCTCCAATTCATGACCCACTCAATCTGACCCCGAGTTATTGATCATTGGCCACGTTTGCCGGAGGAAGGACTAGTTTCAGTATGGCTCCATCGGGAGATGAATGCAAGACACTTGTGACAATGAAGGGAAGCTTGCATTTCGGTTGATGATTCAAAGGGCCCTCTGCTCTGAGGCAAAGGCATGTGAGTGTCTGAGTTACTATAGCATGGCTTCCTTTAAGGACATGCCTTTGTTTGCAAAAATAAGAGAATCTCAACTGGTATAGAACTTTCTTGTGATCATAAGATGCATATGGCTCTGGTTTCCAGTACACAAGAGCCCTCCAGAGTCCCATCCTCGCTCCCATTCTGGAACAGCCCCCCAGACCTTTGAGCACCAGGAAACCTCTTCATGTTCCTTAGTGGCCTGTGGGGAGGGCGTGGCAGCTCATACTAGAACCTCATCCTCAATTTTGTATAGAAGATTTTGGCACATGGCTGAGGTTTGATTCGATCTATTTTGGGGGAGGGAGGTGATATGATTGCCGAGTTGGCTGAGAGCCTACACTCTGAGGTCAAGCTTACACTCTGAAGTTCAACTCTAGGTCCCATTGACTGCTTGTGGGTCCACTGGAACTTCTTTTAAACCTTAGTTCTATCATCTGTGAACTAGGGGGAATAGTGGTGCCTAGTCGGGGAAGCCCAGTGAGTTTCTGGCCATTACCTTAACCTATCAGCCACAGCTGCAGCCCAAAGAATTGATGCCTTCAAATTAGGGTGCTGGCGAAGAATAATGACTAGACTGTGGGCTTCCAGAAGAACAAGCAAATCTGTCTTGAAAGGAAGGCATCCAGAATGCTCTGTAGAAACAAAAAGGCAAGACTTGAACTCATGTACTTTGGACAGGTCATCAGGAGAGACCATGTCCTGGGCAAGGGACATCGTGTTTGGGAGAAGGCCCGTAGAGAGAGGAAGCTTGGTGAAATGGATGCACACAGTGGCTGCAACAACGGGCTCAAATGCACAGCGATTGCAAGGATGGCGCAGGATGGGGCAGCGTTGCATTCTGTTCTCCGTGGGGTCGCTTTGACTCAGAGCCAACTGGACAGCACCTCGCAATAACAACAATCGTAGCCTTGTTGATGAATCAGATCAATATGCTTTTCTCTCCGCACAGAACCAGGCCCATAGAGTGGCAACTGGTACCCCTAGGGAAAACACCTTTGATTGTTTCTTAGTGTGAGTTTGCATCTGGCTCTTTCGAACAGGACTTGCTGGTGAGTGAGGGCTGTGTGTGCCCAGATCTTTGTTTTCCCCATCTCCACACGGACTCGGTTGATACCTTGTGTGTCACATGTCCTCCTTCTCTGAAAGAGAACAGTTTGGAAACTTTTTAACACGGCCTTGGGGCTAGGGGAGGAAAAAACACAAAAATAGTCTCAAGATGTGACAAGTTGTTATCTTGAAGCAACTTGGATGTGTGAATGGGAGCGAGGTTCTGTGAAGCACAAAGCTGGCCTGATGACGCAGACAGGTGTTTTTCTCTGTCCTCCCTGGATCCCAGCGTGCTTCCTCATCAGGGCCATTTGTTGTCTCTGCTTTGGAGGGAGTCTCAGGTTTTCTGTAATCGCAGGGTGATGTAACCTGCCCAGAGTGAGCAACACATTGGCGAAAGCGTCTGTCCTGGTACCTGTGACTGGGGGTCGTTGTCACTGCCGGTCTATTTCAGCTAAGCTACTGATCTCAAAGAGTTCATTTTTAACAACTTCATTTTTAACAGTTTCAAATTTCCCTAGATTCACACTTGGTACAGTCTACATTCTGGTTTTACTAAGGGGTGTTTGCCACTGTTTGTTCTCATTGTGAGCCGGGTCACATTAGCAGCTTTCCTCCACCAATGCCTGTAAGGCTGACTCTACTTTGAGGAGACAGCTCTGCGCCAGTCTTAGTTTGAGTGCTTTCCAAACTGAGGGGCGTATCTTCCATCATTATATCAGACAATGTTCCACGGCTATTCAAATATATGTATATGTTTATGTAAAGCCATATATATATAGTGATAGAAATGACACCAAATGACGTACAATAGAATTTTGCAAGACCAACAGCCTACTCGATAAAAAGTCCTTCCTTCAACAACACACAAGCTGTGCCTTTACATGTGGATCTTGCCAGTTGGGATGCACGGGAATCAAACTGACTACATGTGTGGCGAGAGACGCTGTAGAAGCCCCCATATCACTAGTCAGAACAAGGCCAGCGGAGCGCCCGACCGTCAATGCAAGTTGAAGTTGAAAAAAAATCAAAACAAGAGCATGAGAGCCAAAGTACACCCACTCCTCACTTATCAGCGTGATTAGGTTCCCAGGACCAGCTTATGCAAAATCAATGTTAATATGAGAATCAGGGCCTATGCCCCATCTTTGGTGCCTGGGTCCTGAAGGGTGCCTGGGTCTTGAGATGTGTGTGGCATAGCAAGTCCCCCCCTCCCCCATGCCTTTCCCTTCACCATGGAGCCTGTGGGGTTGGGGTGGTGGTAGTTAGATGTTGCCCATAGGCCCCCTGTTGCCCCCCTGGATGGGAACCCCACACATCCTCTGTTTAGCACAGTTCCACTGGTGCCTCACCTAAGCAACCTCCCTGGCATAGTTGGGCCTCATCTGGCCTCCCCTGCCAATGCCTGCTGACAAGCTCACATCACATTGCCATTATCCTGCGCCATCTGTGAGTAGATTGAAGAGTTGAGGGCAAATAGGAGAAGTTATCCCAGGGGCGATGAGCTGCTGTCCCTCACATGACCTGGTCATCACTGGGGCCATCAGTATATCAGTGACGTGGGTGTGTAGGGGGCGCTGCAGGACTAGCTGCAGCCCTGAGTGGGGACTGGACCATTGTTGGCACCAGCTGAGAATTTTTTTCATAAATGACATAAATGGGAAGTGTCAGATCATGACGTAGTCGATAAATGAGGAGCTGGGTGTAAAACTTTCATTATATCCCACTGAATGTAGACATCATCTCAGGAATAGATTTGATACATTGGACACCAAGTTGAGGGATGACATCAAGAACCTTGTACATGAGGAAAACAAACAGTCATCAAAAAGGTAAGAAAGTAAGAAAAGGCCAGGATGGATGTCAGAAGAGACTGTGAACTCTAAGGCAAGTGTCAAGAAATGAAGACTTCAGCATTTCTTAAACTGAAAAAAAGAAGAAATTCAGTCCTCCAGTTGAACTATTGAAGGATTCTATTGTATGATACCAGAGCTTCAAAGAAACTGGAAGGAATACAAAGAGTCACTATACCAAAAAGAATTAGTAGCTGTTCAGCCGTTTCAGGGGGCAGGTGGCATATGAGTAAGAACTGACAGTGTTGAAGGAAGACGTTCAAGCTGCACTGAAGGCATGCTTGAAAAATAATCATAATAACAAGCCTCTAGGAATTGACAGAATACCAGCTGAGATGTTTCAACAAATAGAAGCAATTTTGGAAGTGCCCACTTGTCAATGCCAAGAAAGAAGCTGCCTGGCCAATGACGGGAAGAGACCCACATGTGTACCTGTTCCAAAGAAAGGTGGCCCAAAGGATGTGAAAATTACCTTCTGCTCTGGAACGGGATGGCCACTGGTTTAGTTTGAGTTTTGTTCTAGAGTTATTCTCCAAATGTAGCACTGCTAATACTGATAGCAGCTATCGTTGACTGAAAGTTAAGCACACTTCAAGCACAAGCCTAAGTGCCCTGCCTATATTATTTTGTTGGACCCCCCTCCCCAACAGCCCAGTGATGTGACCAATGACTATTTTTTTCTCATTTTATAGACAAGACAGAAAAGTTAGAATGCAAGGGAAGGGCACTTGCCCAAGGTCATCGGACTGTAAGTGGCAGTAGGACTCGCTCCCACCTCTGTCTGCTTTCAGAACAGGAGATTATAACCACGGGGCTGAGAACCCAGATGGACTGTGACCACGGCCTTGATAAGACGCTGGGCCTTTGTCACCACCCGCTGCTTGTATTTCTTCTTTTCTTTTTGTTTCCTCCCTCCCCCTCCTCCCCCAGCCCCTGCCTGTCTCTCAGAGTGACTGCTGCCAACACTGTGAGAAAAAGGGGCTGGTAGTTCCGGTTTAGGAATACCCAGCGGGTGGAGAGAGAGGTGGAAGGGAAATAAACCAGTACTCTCTCCTCCCTGGTAAGTCAGAATAGGGAAAGGACCCCAAGAAACCAAGAAGAGCAGGTCATTTTCATGAGAGGTTTGCAGACAAAACCCAGGGGGTTGATAAGATTCGTGGCAACCTTGGAACACGGCACACATCTTTCCCTCTTTTCCTTCTCGTTCACTCCTGTCATCTACCCCATTTCTTGCTGGTTTCTAGCGCTGACCTCCTGCAGTGTTCTGTGTTCTGGTGCATCTGAGCCCACGCACTGCCTTGATCGGCCCGGGTGTTAGCAACTGGATGGAGGCCAACTCTGGGTGCACCCAAGACCTGCTGGTCCACATACCTAACCAACTCACCAGCACCAGTGAATGGGACACTTGAGCCACCTCCCCAGACACTGGATACGTTTTTCCAGGCCGCCTTTTCCCTCCCATTCTTTGTAGGGATGTGTGTGTGTGTGTGTGT